TAAATAACTTTGTAATCCCATATAAATAAAGGATTACAAAATTACATTTGCAGTAAAACAATCAGTGTACCTGTATATGTATAATATAATGGAATAATAGGTGTAGATAGGTACTTTGTTGGTATTCAAGAAGTAGATGGTACCGAAAAGGAAAAAAGTAGGGCTATATACAAAAAGAAATGAGATCCCATCAAAAACATAACATCACAGAAACCAAGTCTCGTAACTTAGTTCTTCTACCAGTAAAAAGTTGTGTAAACCAAGTCGGTTAATTTATTCAGTCCTTACTTACTTAGGGTCCTTCTGTCTTAAGTTATTGCGTAATTAGCCAACCTAACATCTTATGTTGGCCATATCAATATTAAAAACCTTTTATGTTTTAAGTAAATAGATTGACTTGGCAATCACACTAAACGATCTAATTTAATGTCATTTGTATTATTTGCTAGATACATTGTGTTTTCATGCTCTTAAAAAAGCTATATAGTATACCACACAATATGCTACCAAGTGACTATCATTTTGATGGCATAAAATTTAGGGAATGGGCCTGCTGTTCACTGTTAACTATAAAAAGTATACATATTTGTTTCCAGATATCTATGAACCACCATCCATTTATAAACATTTTAAAATGATAGGACAAACAGCAGTGTCTACATCATGACAAAACTGGTAAATATAATAATTGTAAAAATCTTCATAAATTCTTCACAAATAGTATATTATTATGTTCAGTTAATTACCTTATGTTTTTATTCCTAGGTTGCAAACCGGCAAGAATCGAAAAAATATTGCTCGCTAATATTTGGTGAAGTTTCGATAGAGCCAGGTCTTACATATGACAAATACAGTGACAATATCTGTGGACTTGTAGAGTTACTGTCTACTCAGAGTCACAGTTACTGTGACTATGTCGACCATGCCTTAATGTTCCTCATTTGAGGTACTATACACAAATGGCAACAGCCCATTGCCTTTTATTTTTGTCAGGAACTAGACCTGCACTTATATTAAAAAATATAGAAGAGAATAATAACTGGATTAATTCCTGTGGCTCTGGTATCAGATCAGGGAACATCAATTCCGTCAGCCATTAATAAGTTGAAGAAAGACAAGAAAAAACACAAATATTGGCAAATGAAAATACTGGTAAGATAATTAAATGAAAGGTTTAAAACCACAAATTAAAGTTTTTAATAAAGTGCTAAAATTATTAGTAATGTATTTTTATACTTTTGATTGCCTATTAACCAAATTTTTGTTTTCATTTCAGATGACACAATCACAAGAAGTCAAAAGATTAATATCATATTTGATCCTCCTCACCTCATTAATGGTCTAAGAAATAATTTTCTTGACAAAAATATAGTATTGAATGGGAAAACATCAAAATGGGATGATATTGTAGGTGTTTATTTAACAGACTACAAACATGCTGAAATATATTTGCCGCATAAGTTAAATGATGAACATGTCATTCCTCAGAAAATAAAAAAATGAAGGTAAGCTTACCAATGTAAGAAAATAAATATATACATACAATAGAATACATCTTTGGAATAAAGCCAAATTAATTAATATTAACATTTGGTTTTTCAGGTGAGAAACTGCAGTTGTGTGTTAAGCAAAACTGTTGCAGGAGCCTTGGCATACACATCAAAATTTTGTAAGTCTGTTGATTTAAATATTATTTTATTTTAATTTACAATATGGGGAAATCTATCAAACTTTACCAAATTCCAACATCACCTGCATGAAGTGAGCCCTGCTTACTAATAAATAGTGCAATCTACTTCTGTAGGTAATCCATTTACATTTGCAGAACCAAAAATCTTACAACTAGATGATGGAGAGTGTATTGTGGCTATAGGCACATTGAAATATTGTATCATCTTCATTATTATAGCCTCTTCAAAAGTACACTGCTGAACATAGGCCTCACTTGAAATGTCGTTATACACAGAACTCACCCATGTGCACACATCACATTCCAGCATGTCTTATCAGGTCATCACCTTAGTGGGGCCGTCTTACGATTTGCTTACAGATGTGCGCCTACCAATAGAAAAATATTCACTGATTTATAAAGTCCTAAATCAAGCAGAGGATGTAAATGTAGAAAGCTGATATTTATTTTACTTTTTTATACTTTTTATTGCATACAATATTATATTACATAAACACTGACAACAAACTATATACTAAATGTACAATTAGCGGGCCTTTAATACTAAACAGAGATCTGTTCCAGGAAAAACTATAGAGAAGGAGATTATTTTTATATAAGGTTGCATGGATACTTATAAGCTGTATTATGTAGGATTGACTGCTTTGTTGGTCTAGTGGTTGTAGTAGTGCGACTGCTGATCATGAGGTCCTGGGATCGATCTCAGGTCGGGCCAAAAACCAATTATTGAGTTTTCTGTCAAGAAATCTTCAGTAGCTGCCTGGAGTCAAGAAGTTGGCGGTGTCTTACCACCATGCCTCGGAAAACTCGTAAAGGCGTTGATCCTGCGCCTGGTCTCTCTCCGGTCGTGTCAGTTTACTGTTCCATCGGATTGAGAGTGAGGAAATAGAGAGTGCACCTGTACTTGCGCATAGATTTAGGCAATATAATCCTATTATAAACCCTCAGTATTCTATAGGATGCATTTCACAGTGTGCGTAGGAATTGCACGCTTTAATTCCTTCTTCTCCTTTTCACCATCCGACGACCAGGCGGTCGGCGGGTCTTTACCCCTTTGTTGTTGATATTCCACGCATTAGTACCAAACGGTTTACTTCGAATTTTTTAATGCATACAGCAAATGAGTGGAATAATTTGCCAGCGTCTATCTTTCCATCCGAATACAATCTGGGCGTCTTCAAGGCAAGAGTGAATAGGGTTTTGTTACGCTAAGACAGTGCGATTTACTATCTAAGGCTGCATCACCACTTACTACCAGGTGGGATTGTGGTCAAGCACTGGCTTATAAAAAGTAAAAAAAATATATAAGAATAAAAGAGAAACAAATAACATTAATTTAGGGTTTCTATGGCTAACACTATATTTATTTTTATGTTACAGATCGCTAAGCTGATAAAAAACCTGTAAACTCGACGTCAAAAATACTTCAGAAGCTTTGTCATTTTTCGAGGACTTATTTGATTCATGTAAGGAAACAGCTCTTAGACGGAGAAACAAAGTGAAGCCCTTAAAGCAAGCTGTAACGAATTCATCAGAGCACGAAACCCTTTTGACTAATTCCATAAAAAAATTAGAGGTAATGAGATTTGTTAATAAAGAGGACAAGGAGTGTATCATGTCCTCTAAAAAATTCAGTAGTCAGTCCACCAATGGATTTCTCACAGAGAGTATAGATACTTAAAATAAAAACAAAAATCAACCTATCCCTCAGAATATGCAGTGAGGTATATTTCAACCGTTGTAAAAGAAACAAACTAATATTTGGAAGTGAAACCAAATTCTTATGAAATTTAAAAAAAAAGCATATGGAAATCCAAATATTGGAACGGAAATGGAACTGGTGTAACGTTACTAAAATCTTAAAAGAATTTGATATTGTGAGATTAAAATAACGTAACCAATTGCCGCAAATGCTAGATAAAGTTTGTAAATAATTTAAAAAAAAAAAAAAAAAAAACTTGAATAACTAATATATAAGTTGTTTTATTTTTTGTATTATAAGTTCTAAAGATTTTAAAATTGTCAACTTTTAATGGTGAATAGCTGTAGGTATGGGAATGAAATTAGGCTTTATCAATGATGTACTTTTGCCTTATAACTACAAAATTTAAAAGTAACGTAAGTAGGCTTTATCAATGATGTACTTTTGCCTGATACCTCAAAATTAGAAGTAAACAAAAGTCAAACTCTAAACTACTGCTTCCTAGCGGTGGGTAGTAGCGGCTTCTTTGAGTAACGAAACGAATCTATCTATCGAATATCAATAGCGGCTTTTGAAACACTCTATTTTAATAGAGGGTTTGGAAACACTCTATTTTAATAGCGGCTTCAATAGAGTGTTTCACGACGTGTTCAATTGCAAAACGTTGCGACCTTTGTTACCGTTTCGTATAGAATTAGACATGGTGTTAATGGTTAAATTTATTTATTTGTTAAATCAGTTCGCACGGTTTGATAAAAATATCACTTCGAAGTACACTGGCATTACTTCGAGACATTTTTGATAACAATCACATAAAGTTTTAGTATTATTTTTACACTTAGTTATTTACACTAATTACTGTACAATTATTATTATCAACACTAATATATACAATTATATTTAGTTCTTATTTTACTAAAAAAGATTATTATTGTTGCACAAAAAAGGAAACAAACGCGCCTAAAAAGTAAAAACAAACCGTGTCATTAAACTTAAACAAAAGACTAATGTAAACCGGGCCAAGGCCCTTTAAATTATGGTATTTGAACTATTTTTTGTTAAAAACATGTACACTTACTTTCTCATTTCTAATATCGCATCTATACGAAGGAAATAGAGTCATAGGTCAAATGCAAAAGCACACGCGCTCACTCGACTTTCGACAACCGGTGGTACTTCTACCACAGCGTAAAAAGTCGGTTTTTTTACTCATGTGCTTCTACTTCAACAGCCGAAGCCGTCGCCGACGCGTCGCGAAAATAGCCGAATAAACGTTTTGTTACTGATCGCTCGTTCGTGATTCGTGAAACGTGAATCGTGTTACTGAGTAAAACGTCTACTGTAATAGATAGTTTCGTTGCACTGCAATAACCCGCTACTCGCTATTGTGTGAATAGATAGTTTCAGTAACTAGTTACGTTTCGTAACGACCACTCCTACTGCTTCCGTACTGGTTGTTCTAAGATTCCTGTCTGATGCGTAGTATCCTCTTAGTAGTCTGTGGTGGTGGTGTCTATGACTGTGAATAATAACAACAACAACGTATAAATCAATTTACAAATTATATTTTTCATATTTCTATATTCTTTGGGTTTTGGCTTTTAAATAATGGAAGAAAATCATCAGGCATCGATCCCAAAGACAGCTTTAAATCTATACGTCAGATTGTACTGTAAGAAAAGAAAACTGTTGGAGAATACGGTTACAAGAGTAAGTTGAGTCTAGTTAGACCTATTTTTCTTTATCTCTGTATTTTTCTTTATTGAAAAATAGGTGGTTGGCTAAGAGCCGCATTGGCTAACAGCGCTAACATCACAATAAAGATAATGTTTTGTCAATTTTATGGTTTTTAGTTTAGCCTTAAGGTCACAGCAACCCTCCCCTCACCGCCTCGTCACATGCGTCCACTAGTAGTCGACAGGTGGACCACGGGTGGAAGCCGCGTTGTTACCAGTGAACCTCGCGTGGTCATCGAGTGGACCTCGCGTCGTCAACGAGTGGACTTCGCGTGATCAATGAGTGACCCTTAAATTATACAACAAATTATACTTCCGAACTTCTATAAGTTTTTCTTTGTTCATTTTAAAAACAAACAACAATGCATCCGACACATTCGAAAGAAAGGCTCGAAATGAAGGGTTGGTGGTAGCGCCTCCTCGCGCTTGCGTGAACCACGCGTTGCCAGCTCGCGCTTCACGCAAAGCAACCATGCCATCAGCGAGCTATCATCGAGTGGTCCACTCACAGTCCTCGCTTGGACACCTCGCATGCGAGGTGATCCGGTGATGGTACGGAGTTGATGTAGTAAGCGCAGACCTATACAAATCTGTACGAAGAATATGAACCGCTCGAGGCGAGGTGGTGAGGGACGGGTGCCAGGTGGCACTAATGAGCTGTGACCTTTAGTTTATTTTGTTTGCATAATAGTATAAGAAACATGCAAGTATTTATTATTAACTCCATTTTTTCAAAACACTGAGCAGTTTCATTTGTCAATTTTCGCTAAAAAAACAAGTGTAAATAATACTAGCTGGTTTCCTCAAGAAGGCATGTGTTTACATGTTGTACTTTTTATTTTATTATTCAATAAGTATTCAACAATAAAAAAATTAAAGTATTAAGATAGTGTCAAATCATTGTTAAATTATTGTTATCAAAATTTTTTACCAAAGCTTTGAACCCAGATTTAAAAAGTAGGTACACATAACACCATAAATCTGCAAAAAAATAATTATATAAATCAGTCAAATAATTATGAACAGCAAAATCATTTTGTCAAACAGTCTACTATAGATAAATATTTACTAAAGAGCAAAAAATAAAAACAAAAGAAATCTGCACAATCTTACATTGCTGGATCAAGCCATGGGCTTTTGAGAGGACTTTCGCTGTGGCGATTGGGGGGGGGGGGCAAGTAAAGTTTGATAGTTTGTGCTTGAAACTGGAGAAAACGATTTTACCCAGAAATTAGACTTAAAGACTTAAGGTGATTTTTCATGTGTATAATCAATTTTATACAATTATTATATAAACATCAGTGGCGAAGCCTCCATAAAAGCCAAGAAGCCAGGCTTGCTATAAAACTGCTCAATCAATAATATCAACTAATAAAATAACTTGTAAACGGTTTCAGACTATTTCAAAATTCATCTCACTATTTTAACTCATGGTGGTACGTAAAGATTATGATAGATGGCACAAACACGCTAACGGCTAATTTAATATTTAGAGTTAAAAATATCATATTGTATGGTTTATTAAAATTGAAAATGAATAATTATATAATAAATAGTCATTATTTTATGGTTAAAAAATTTTCAAAGCTTTATCTTCTCATTATACCATATCTAATTCCTATCGTAGCTTCGTCGTCGTAACTTAAACAAAATAATTTCGATGTTTCACATCTGCCAGGCGTCCCTTTTTTTAATTTTGTACATAGTTTGTTTGTACTTTGTTCATGCTTTTCTTTTGTTAATGTATTGTATTGTAAAAAAAATATCTTTTTCTGTCCCTCAAGCAAACCCAAACGGCTCTTTTCAAAGCCACCGAAGGTATACAATTGCTTATGTCATACAATTTATCTAGTGGAAGTATGCCTTTTGTGTGCCTTGTTGAACACATCCTTGACAGCACTGAATATGAAACTAAAGAGTGGAGACAGATCAAGATTGGTGTATTTTTATAAAACTGCTAAAAACAACAAAACCATATCTTGGGCTTGCCCTAGTTTGGAGCTCTAGCTTCACCACTGATAAACATTACCTATTATTATTCTTGTCATGTTATGGGTATATATTCCAAAGGACTTCCTTGACTAGTTGTTCTAGCAATTGTAAGCGCAACTGTCTTGAGGAAATATTATCTGTCCTTGTGTCTATAGTGGTGAATGTTTCTTGTATTTAAGATAAGCAGAAATTTAGCTATTTATAAGTACCATATATTATCATTAAAGAGCGTGAAATGTTAAATCATTTTGTTGCCGACAAACTGACTTACAATTTGGCAAAATTTTAAAAGTGAAATTTTTTTAAAGAATATAAAACTATAAACATTACTAATATTCCCCTTACCAACCTCTCCTTAGATTGTACACTCTTTAAGAATTAATAAAAAAATGTTGATAATGAGGTCCCGAATTCGACTCCCGAGTGTTATTGGGTTTTCTGTCAAGAAATTCTCTGTAGCAGTCTGAAGTCTGGAATTGGTTAATGATGTTTCACCAATGTGCCTTGAAAAGCATGTACTCATGTCCTGTTCTGCACAGATGGCTAGGTTTCCTTGAGAACAGCTGGCATGACCAAAATTAAAGAAAAATCACATGTAGGAAAAAACGAATGAATTTAGTTATTTTATATACAGTATTTTTATATTTTACATTCTGATTTTAGAGACACACAACTTTAGTGGAAGCAACTAAATCTTGGCTTTCTTTAAGTAAAAGTGAAAGAGAAATATTTGTAACAAAATACAATAATATAGTTAATGAATATAAGAAAAAAATTGCCAATTCTTTAAAAGATGCTAAACCATATTTAAAGAAAAAGGATTTGAAAAGGTAAGTTTACTTTTACGATGACTTCAAAAGAGAATGTTCTTAATTACTGTAATACAATTATGTCCCATTTTACTGGATATGGATATGAGGCATTCCATCATAGTCCTCAGGGGAGATTCTTAAGCAAGAATGAATGTAAATGTCTATGGACCACAGTATTCTCTTACCATCGGGTTTTTTTAATTTAGTATGTGAAGTAATAGTTTAGTTTACGACGGGCTGTTTTCCGCAACTCCACGTCTAAGCGCGTATTTTGCGTGTGGGCAGGAATAATATGGTTATTCGAGCCATGATATCCCCCAAAGAAGCTCAGCAGTCCCTGGATGTTGCAAGCAACTTCGGGGAGCGATCCCGGCGTGCCGAGATTTAGCCTTGTATGAAGCAACTTCTGGACATGTCAGCAACACGTGAGCCGCCGTTTCTTCCTCTCCCATACATGCCCTGCACAGGGGACTATCAGTAACACCTATGGTGAACAAATGTTTGTTAAAAGAGCCATGTCCTGTGATAGCACTTGTTACTATCCTGATCTGTGGCTTGTTCAGTCCCAGTTTCACCTTCCTAACATCTATTGCTATGGCTGCTTGGATGATACCCATGCATTCAGCCTGGAAGACTGTGTTGTGGGTACCCAGCGGTGTGCATATGTGGATATTAAGGTCTTCAGAGAAAGCCCTAGACCCCACACCTTCATTTTTCTTAGAGCCATCCGGGAAAACTTTGAGCTCTCTTGAACCCGATCCTTCCAGATGGTCAGTTTCCTTCAATTGTATCCTGTACTTCTTATCGAATACAAATTGTTTTGGGATCCTATCATACTTGGCTTGTAAGATAGGAATTTTTGAGTAAATTCTATCGATTATATCTGTATGGGGGACTCTACTCTTACTTAAAAGATTTATGGTCTTGAGTCTAATGGCAGCTAAAGTTGCTTCTTGTTGTATATGTAGATGAAGCGGTGTTAGCTCCAGCATAGCCTCCAAAGCTGCTGTTGATGTAGTTCTTATGCAGCCCGTGGCAGCCATACAAGCCAATCTCTGGTAATGCTGAAGCTTTCGTATATTGTTGGCTTCATTGGTTTTGGTCCACCATACCAGAGAGCCGTATGTGATCATGGGCCGAATTACTGTTTTGTACAGCCACAGTATAATTTTTGGCGTTAAACCCCATCATTTGCCGATCATGTTGCTGCATTGCCAGAAAGTTAAACTAGCTTTGCTGATATTGTTTTCTATGTGTTTGTTCCAGTTAAGTTTACTGTCCAAGGTAAGACCTAGGTATTTTACCCCGGAGGAAAGCTGGAGTTATGTGCTGAAAAGACTTGGAAGATGATAGGTATTCAGTATTTGTTTTTGTGTGAACATTACTATAACCGTTTTTTTTTCGGATTAACGGTTAGGTCATATTCCCTGCACCATCTCTCTACAATACGGAGAGCCGCTTGGGTCAGGTTGCACACAATGCTTGCTGTCTTACCAGATTGTCAGATCATCTGCATAACCGACTGTGTAGAAATGGTTAGAGTTTAATTTGCTGATGAGTTCATTAATGACCATATTCCACAGGAGAGGTGAAAGAACCGTACCTTGCGGGCATCCTTTCATGATCTGAATTGTCTGAGACTCACCAGCAATCTTTATTGTTCATGTACTGAGCATGTTTACTATCCAGTCAATCAGTGCCGGTTCAACATTATGTCTACTTAGGGCACCTTTTATGCTGGAGAAATTTGTTCTGTCAAAAGCACCTTCTATGTCTATGAAGAAGCCTAGACATATTACTTTGTTTTGGATTCTGTTTGGATTTTGTTTGGACTTTAAAGATTGAAGAGGCCATCCAAAACAAAGAAGAATCTTGAATCTTTGAATGTGAAGTAATATTTTCGAAGCGAAATATTGATTATTTTTCGGATGTGTAGGCAATAACAAACCCAGGTATTGACATAAAGCTAGCCCAACTTTTTATATTTTCCGATACTGATCTGGGAACAGTGTTTAGATTACAGATTTTCATGGATATGAGATAATTACAGTGATATTGTTTAGATACAAAAAAGTGCAAAAATGAAAACTTATTTTAAAAATTTACAGATACGAAAAGACAGCTTCTATTCATACCGAAAACCATGGTAATCAAGATAAACAACAGAATTCAGAAGTAAATTTTAATAAAAATATATTAGAAGATTCTAAACCGATCATTGGTGCTATAAGCACAAATGATGGAATGACGTAAGTACCTCCTATTACAATTGTAATATTTAGTATTTTTAAATAATAATAATAATAATGTCCTACCGAATTTCGGTCACAGCGACCAGTCTCAATGGAGACTTTATATCTGCATACAACAGGATTACAATACACTAGTATATGTACAAGCACAGATGTACTCTCTTTTCCCCATTCTCATAGTCCGATGGGATGGCGACTGGAATCCAACAACTCCAGAGAGTTCAGGTGCAGGACCAACGACTTTACTTGCTTTGCTTTGCAGTTAAAATACTGCAGGCTCCCTGACTTAGAAAAGGTAAAAAGACAGAAAAGGGTACTTTTTTTAGGTATTTTTTAAAATTTCATGTTAAAAATCTTTAAGTTTATAGAGTTATACTTTAAAAACGAAATTAGTCGCTTTGATAACGACTTGTGATAAGGTAGGGATAAGAAACTCCACCAATTCTCACTAAGAAATGCTATAAAAAAAATTCTGATGCAAGCCGAGTGAGCGATGCTAGTGTGCCGCAGTCAGGGATTGAAAACGGTTCCAAAATACCGGTATACTACAGGTATTTAGGGGTTCCAGTAACTATACCGGAACAGGAACCAGAACCTAAATTTTAACCTTTATTTTACCAGTTCCTAAGCAAAGCGAAAGCGAGTCTAAACTTATTTGAGATGCGGTCGGGTCACATGAGTAGACAAACGGAACAGAGACAAAGCTTCTTAAGAACGAGCAAAATTGTTACCTATTTGGGTAGGGTTGGTTGGGTTCTATTTTAAGAAGAAGACTCGTTACGTTAATCATTATTACGAAAACTGACAATGGGCCCAAAGAAATCTAATTTCGTCTATAAACATTTTATATATGATTAACATCAAAAACAATCCACATGTACTGTCAATGACATATACCTTTGAATCGGGTGACAAGGAACCGTTATATCATCATAGATTTAGAGGTTCTAGGAACCGGTACATTGGAACCGATACCGGAACTAGAACCGTACCGAAAAGAGGAACCTTTATAATATCCTAAATGAAGAACCAGAACCGAAATTGGTACCGTTATTCAATCCCTGGCCGCAGTAGTGGCTACCGAAGTAGCTGCCGTCAAAGTACGGCGCACCTAAGGTTAACAAAAGACGAACTTTATTGCGTATTTGCCTAAAAATTGCAACTTGTAAATAAAACTAAAACTGTGTAGCATAACTATCGTACCATCCGGCGATGGCGAGAAGCGAGCTTATCGCGATTTATAGCTGTGACAGTTTTTGTTCTGAATTGCCGGTCTAGTAGTATATTTATATAGAAAGCTGAGTCAGCTTGCACAAACTGTTTGATAGATACTACGCGTTCATTTCAAGTTTGCCGTCGTCGACCGTTATGATATCACAGCTGACGGTACCGTAGACAAATAAGTCATCATTTTTATCTACCACATCACATAAACATGATGATTATTTTTTTGTCAAATTGAACAAATCTAAGTAAGTAGTTTGTTTTCCTGTACACAGAAATTGACAGCAAACAAGTAGATATAATAGGTACATATTGTTACGCGCTAAAATCGGCGCACTAGCGCCATCTAGTCTCGAACCGAAGAACTAAACTTCTTGAAGTTTAAAACTCGAACTCTCGGTACCTTGCGCGTGTTTACTTGAACATTCTGGATATTTTGCTAATTTATATAAGTAGGCGCTGCAAGATGCGATCGGGCAGAGTTGAACTCGGCGACACAAGCGAAGCTTCGGAGCGGAATTAAGTGAATTAGTGTGTTTAATTATTAGTGTTTTTAGTTTTAATTTGTGTAAAGTAAATTAAAGTGTTAATTTAGGTAATTTTATCGGCAATTTTTATTGTCACGAACCTCAAGCTCGTAACAATTGGTGTCAGAAGTGGGATAAAATCATGCCGATTTTACCTAAGGAGGAAACGGAGGGTGTCCGTACCCGAAGTCAACGCCAGCAGGAGACGGACCAACGAAGATTTGGTGGTGCAACGCCGCAGACGTCGGAGGGCCAGCCACCAGCTGCAGGCCCGTCGGTAGCTCCTACATCTGCAGCACCTGACTTAGGTGCTCTGATGGTGATGCTGGAGGAACAGGCCCGTTGGTTAAAAGAGCAGCAGGAGGTACAGGCTCGCCGACAGGAGGAACAGGCTCGCCAGCAGGCGGAACAGGCTCGCCAGCAGGCGGAACAGGCACGCCGATTGGAAGAGCAGCTGCGGGGCGGACAAGAGGAACAGGCCCGTCGGTTGGAAGAGCAGATGCTCCTCATGAAGGACCTTCACGCTACCTTCGGGAAGGAGATAAAGGAGGTGAAGGATAGGGTTGCTCAGCATGACAACCGCCTGTCGGAAGCTGAAACCCAAATCGCGAAAGCTGAAAACCGAATCGAGAAAGCTGAAACCCGAATCGACCAAGTAAACAATCGGGTTGACAACGTAATGGCGGACATGAAGAAATCACTAGACGAACTCAAACTTGGGGATGGAACTACAGCTCCCGTACTAGCTACAGCACCTTCGCTACGTGGATTCAAAGTGCCGCCGTTCGACGGGACTTCTTCCTGGTCGGCCTACAAAATCCAGTTCGAGGCTGTTATGAAGGCGAACGGCTGGAATAAAAGTCAGGCCATGACTGCTCTCACACTAGGCCTGCGCGACCAGGCCTTAACAATTCTGGAAGCTCTCGGTGAGGAAGTGACTTATGAGCAACTCCTTGAGGCATTGGAGGCGAGATATGGCGACGCTCACCTGGAACACGTCTTTCGTGCGCAGCTTAAAGATCGTGTGCAGCGCATAAACGAAAACCTGCAGCAGTGGGCTCTAGAAGTGGAGAAGCTGGTGCGAAAAGCATACCGGTCTGTACCTGCGCTCATTGAAGGGAACCTGGTGCAGACATTCATCGACGGCATCCACGACCTGGAAGTCAGAGCTGCTGTGAGGCTCGGGCACCACGAGACGCTTAAGGACGCCTTGGCCCATGCACTGGAAGTGGAAGCCGTGCGGCAGGATCATCGTTCCCATCGCGTCAGGGAGGTTGCAGCAGCTACAGTTCGCGACCGCAACAAAGGATACAGCCCAAGGTGCTATGGCTGTGGGGAAAAGGGCCATCTTCGATCCAGCTGCCCTAAGCGAACCCTAGAAAGGGAAATTGAACGATCTCAGGAGGGTAGTGCGGCCAACAGCACCGCCCAGCAGCGGCAGGGAAACGAGTAAAAGCCAGAACTGCGGGGCGGGTGCTGGCTGATGTTAAAAGACCCCCAAGGATCTCGATCTCACAAACCCATGATGGGAACAGCCTAATCATAAAGGGCGAGATCAACGGAATGCCGTGTAAGCTGACCATAGACACTGGAGCCTCTCGTACGGTTGTTAGTTCCCAACTTATAAGTCAGTTCCTTGGGGACTCCGCATACAACCGAGAACGCATTAATTTGGTAACAGCCACCGGTCAGCGTATACCCGTCCGTGGAGAGAAGGAGATGGAGTTGAAGCTAGGCAACGTGATCTACCTGCATAATGTCATCGTGGCTGATATAATGGACGACTGCATCCTAGGCCTAGACTTTATGAGGAGTAATTGTTGTGAGATCGACGTTAAGCAAGGTGTTTTGAAATGTGGACAGGAGGAACTTTTTATGGAAGGTGCGTTACCAGGGAACGTGTACAGCATCAAGAAGATTGTTCTTCCGCCGAGATCGGAAACGATTGTTCCGGTTAGTCTTCCTCGAAACGCTGGGCAAGCTCACCGTTGTGTACTTGTGGAAAGGGTAAACAATGACCTCCCATGGAAAGTAGCTCGAACCTTGGTCAGGACCACTGACATCTCAGGAGTACGTGTGCTGAACCTTTGCGACCGGAAACAGATTATAGAAAAAGGTACACTGGTTGGTACTTGTGAGGAAGTGGATTGGTTACGTCAGTGCCAATATATATCGAGTGGGACCCCCAGCAAGGATTCAGAAACGAGAGTGACCACACTTTTGGAAGACTGTCGCAGTGTTCTGTCCCCGAACGAATTGGTCAAGGCGAAGAAGTTGTTACTCGAGTACGCCGATGTATTCTCATCAAACGATGCTGACATAGGAAAGACTGGTTTAGTTCAACACAAAATAAACACAGGTGAAGAGTTGCCTATCCGTCAGCGGCCAAGACGATTGCCGGTAGCACGTGAAAAGGAAGTGGAAACCATGATTAAGGGAATGGTGAAGGATGGTGTTATTGAACCTTCATCTAGTCCATGGTGTTCACCCGTGGTACTGGTAAAGAAGAAGGACGGCAGCTTGCGGTTTTGTGTTGACTACCGCCGTCTGAACGACGTTACTAAGAAGGATAGCTATCCCTTGCCAAGAATTGACGACACGCTGGACATGCTTACAGGAGTAAAGTGGTTTAGCACGCTGGACCTAAAAAGTGGCTACTGGCAAGTTGAAATTGACCCTAAGGACAAGGAGAAAACTGCGTTCTCGACGGGAAAGGGTCTATGGCAATTTAAAGTAATGCCGTTTGGGTTGTGCAATGCTCCAGCAACGTTTGAAAGGCTGATGGAACTTGTACTTACCGGGCTAATTGGCGACGCCTGTCTGGTCTACTTGGATGACATCATCATCGTGGGCCGTACATTTGAGGAACACCTTCAAAACTTGGAACGCGTGCTCATGAAGATTAAGAGTGCCAACCTCAAGTTGAGTCCGAAGAAATGTTCACTATTCAAACGGCAAGTCAACTTTTTGGGGTATGTAGTGTCGGAAGAAGGTATCCGCACGGATCCAGAGAAAATCGCAGCTGTAAAGGATTGGCCGGTTCCAAAAGACAAGACGCAGGTTAGAGCATTTTTGGGTTTGTGCTCCTATTACCGACGTTTTGTGAAGAACTTTGCAGATATAGCCAAACCTCTACATAAGCTAACCGAGGAGAAGCGACATTTCTGCTGGGATGAAAGTTGTAATATCGCATTCCAGGAGCTCAAGGACCGTCTGTGCAAAACACCTATTTTGGGATACCCTGAT